CACTATGTGGGCTGGGGGGCTTTTTGAAAGCGTTTGACTTTTTTTTTCATTTTTTGTGGCCATTTTTTCCAGGCATGCTGAGAAAAATGTAATGATCGTGTTTGCAAAATTTCAGAAGTTTTTGACGTCGATTTTATTTTTCAAGAATGAAAAATAATGAAAATCATAGAAAATAGAATATTCATCAAAAAATGGTGACGCTTATTGCATTAATTCTTAAAAATCGTATACTAATTTTAGAATGCAAAACATAAATAAAAATGTAAATTTTTCACCCATCCATGCCCCTGGGCAGCCCACTACGCGGGTCGGGGGCTTTTTGACAACGTTTTACTTTTTTTTGTAATTTTTTGTGGCCATTTTTTACTGGCATGCCCAAAAAAATGTAAGGATCGTGTGTGTAAAATTTCATAATTTTTTGACGACGATTTTATTTTATTTTATTTTTGAAAATGAAAAATAATAAAAATCATAAAAAATAGAATATTCATCAAAAAATGGTGCCGCTTGTTGTATTAATTCGTAAAAATTGTATATTAATTTTGGAATGTAAAAGATAAATAAAAATATAAATTTTTTACCTATCTCGGCCCTTGGCCGCCACACACTATGCGGGACGGGGGCTTTTTGACATCGTTTTACTTTTTTTTTAATCATTTTTTGATACCATTTTTCGCAGACATGCCTAGAAAAATGTAAGTATTGTGTCTATTAAATTTCATAATTTTTTGAAATCGTTTTTATTTTATTTTATTTTTCAAAGATGAAAAATAAAGAAAATCATAAAAAATAGAATATTCATTAGAAAATGGTGCCGCTTGTTGCATTAATTCCTAAAACTCATATATTAATTTTAGAATGCCAAACATAAATAAAAATGTAAATTTTTTACCCATCCCCGCCCCTGGGCCCCCTACTACACGAGCTGGGGGCTTTTTTACAACGTCTTACTTTTTTTCATAATTTTTTGATGCATTTTTTGCATGCATGTCCAGAAAAATGTAAGGATCGTGTTTGCAAAATTTCATAATTTTTTGACGTCGTTTTTATTTTATTTAATTTTTCAAAGACGAAAAATAAAGAAATTCATAAAAAATAGAATATTCATAAAAAAGGGCGTTTATTGCATTAATTCTTAAAAATCGTATATTAATTTTCGAATACAAAACATAAATGAAAATGTTAATTTTTGACCCATCTAGGCCCCTGGGCGCCCCACTACCTGGGCCGGGGGCATTTTGACAGCGTTTTATTTTTTTGTAATTTTTTTAGGCCAGTTTATGTAGGCATGCACAGAAAAACGTAAGGATCATGTATGCAAAATTGAAAGGAGTTTTTTCCCCCGGGGGTGCCCCAGGAGTGTCCCCGTAGTCTCCCGGGGATGTCCCGGGAGTGTCCTGGTGGTCTGCCCGGGGTGCCCCGGCCATGCCTCGAGGGTAGCCTAGAGGTGCCCCGGGAGTGTCCCGGGGTGTCTCGGACGTCTCCTGGGGGTCTCTCAAGGGGTGTACTAGGGGTGTCCCGGGGGTCTCCCGGGGGCCTCACGGCGGTCTCCAGGGGGTTCCCCAGAGGTGTCCCGGGGGTTCTTGGGGGTGTCCCGGGGTGTGCGGGGCGTGCCCCGGGGTTCTCCCGGGGGTAACCTAGGGGTGCCCCGGGATTCTCCCGGGGGTCTCCAGAGGGTCTTCTGGGGTCTCGCGTGAGTGTCCCGGGGGTGTCCCAGGAGTGTGCCGGGGTTGTCCCGAGGTTGTCCCCGAGGTCTCCCGCGTGTCTCCCGAGGGTGTCCTGGGGTGCCCCGGGAATGCCTTGGGGGTCTGCCGGGGGTGTCCCGGGGTGTTCCGTCGGTGTCCTGGGAGTGTCTCGGGGGTGTCTTGTGATTGCCCAGGTGTCCCCCAGGGGTCTCCCAGGGGTTTCCCGGGGGTCTCCCAGGGGTGCCATGGGGTTTCTCGGGTGTGTCGTGGGTGTGTCCCGGGAGTGTCCCGGTGGTCTCCCGAGTGTCTCCCGGGGGTGTCCCGAGAATGCCCTAGGGGTCTGCCGGGGGTTCCACGGGGGTGTCCCGGGGGTGTTCCGTGGGTGTACTGGGGTGTCTTAGGGGCGTGTTGGGGGTTTCCTGGGATTGTTCCAGGTGTCCCCTGGGGGTCTCCCTGGGGTGTCCCAGTGGGGTACCAGGGGTGCCCTGGGGGTGTCTCGGGTGTCCTGGGGGTGTCCCAGGAGTGTCCCGGGGATGCCCGGGGAATGCTCTAAGGGCGTCCCGAGGGTACCCCGGGCGTGTCCCAGGGGGGGTGTCTGCGGGTGCCGCGGGGGTGCCCAGGGGGTGTCCTGGAGGTCTCCCTGGGCTCTCCCGGGGGTGTCCCGGGAATGCCCCGGGGGTCTCCCGGGGTTGTCCCGGGGATGCCCCGGGTGTGTTTCAGAGTTGTCCCGGGGGTGTCTAGGGGGAGCCCTGGGATTTCCCCGGGGCTGTCCCTGGGGTGCCCCGGTGGTGCACCTGGGGTGCCCTGGGATTGTCCCGGGGGTGTCGTGGGAATACCCCGGGGGTGTCCCGAGGATGCCCTGGGGGTGCCCCGGGGGTGTCCCGGGGGTGCCCCTGGGGAGCCCCAGGGTTGCCCTGGGGGCGTCTCGTGGGTTCCCCGGCGGTGCCGCGGGGGTGCCCTGCGGGTGTCCCGGGAGGGTCGCGGAGGTCTCCCTGGGGTCTCCCAGGGCTGTCCCGGTGGTGTCTCGGGAATTCCCCAGGGATCTCCTGGGGTTGTCCTGCGGATTCCCTAGGGGTGTCTTGATGGTGTCCCGGGGGTGCCCCGGGGGGTCCCAAGGGCACCCCGGGCGTTCCCCGGGGCTGCCCGGGGGATGTCCCGGGGCTGTCGTGGGGGAGCCCCGGGGTTTCCCCGGGGGTGCCCCAGGGGTATCCCAGGGGTCTCTCGGGGGTGCCCCGGATCTGTACTGGGGGCGTCCCGGGGGCATTCCGAGGGTGTCCCGGGGGTGCCCCTGGGCGTGGCCGGGGGTGTCCTGGGTGTGCCCGAGGGTGTCCCGGGCAACCCCGGGGGTGCCCCAGGGGTTCCTAGACTGCCCTGGGGCTTTCCCGGGGGTGTCCAGGGTGTGTCCCGGGGGTATCCCGGGGGTGCCCCTATGGGGTCCCGGGGGTGCTCCAATGGAGCCCCGTGGGTGCCCTAGGTGTCTCCCAAGGGTGTCTCGGGGGTGCCCCAGGGATGCCCCGCGGGTGCACTTGGGGTGCCCCGTGAGTGCCCGGGGGGTGCCCCGTGGGGGCCTCGGGGGTGCCGCCGGGGATCCCCGTGGGTGCCAGGGGGTGTCCTGGGTGTGCCCGGGGGTGCCCCGGGGAACCCCGGGGATGTCCCGGGGGTGCCCTGGGGGTTTCCCGGGGCTGTCCACGTTGTGTCCCGGGGGTACGCCGGGCGTGCCCCAGGGGTGCCTCGGGGATGCCCCGGGGTTGCCCCGGGGGTGTCCAATAGGTGCCCTAGGGGAGTCCCGGGGGTGTCCCAGGGGTGCCCCGGGTGTTCCCCGAGGGTCCCCGGGGGGTCTCCCAGGCGTCTCCCGGGGGTCTGCCGGGGGCGCGCCAAGGGTGTCCCGGCGGTTCCCCGGGTGCCGTAAGGGTATCTCGGGGGTGCCCCCTGTGTTTCGCGGGGATGCCCTGTGGATGTCCCGGGGGTGCCCGGTGGTGTCCTTAGGGTGCCCTAGTGGTGTCCCGGGGGTACCCCGGGAGTGTGTCGGGGGTGTCCCGGGGTTGTCTAGGGGTGTCCTGGGGTTGTCTCGGGGATGTCCCACGGGTGTCCCAGGGGAGCCCCATGGGTCTCCCGGGGGTGTCCCGGGGGTGCCCCGGGTCTCCCGGGAGTGTTCCGGTGGTCTCCCGGGGGTGTCCCGCGGGTGCCCTGTGGGTGCACCGGGGTTGCACGGGGGTGCTCCATAGGTGTCCCGGGGGCGTCCCGGGGGTGCCCCAGGGGTGTCCCGGGGGTGCCCTGGGGGTTCCCCGGGGGTGCCCCTGGTGTTCCGCGGGTGTGCCCCGGGTGTGTCTCGGGGGTGTCCCAGGGGTGCCCCGGGGCTTCCCGGGGTTGCCCGAGGGGTGCCCCGGTGGTGTCCCGGGGGTGTCCCGGGGGTACCCCGGGAGTGTCCCGGGGATCTCCCGCGGTTGTCCCGGGGGTGTAATGAGGGTGTCCCGGTGGTGCCCCGTGGGGGTCCCGGGGGTGCCCCGTCAGTGTCCCGGGTGTGTCTTGGGGGTGCTCCGAGCGTGCCCCGGGGGAGCGCTGGGGGTGTCCTGGAGTTCTCCTGCGCGTGCCCCTGGGTTGGCCCGAGTCTGTCCCGGGGGTACCCCGGGAGTGTGCCGTGGTTGTCCCGGGGGTGTAATTGGGGTGTCCTGGGGGTGCGCCGGAGGTGTCCCGGGCGTATCTTGGGGGTGGCCCAAGGGTGCCTCGGGGGAGCCCCGGGGGTGTCCCGGGGGTCTCTCGGGGGTCTGCCGGGGGAATCCCGGGGTTGTCCCGGGGGTCTCCGGGGGGTGCCCCGGGGGGCCCTGGGGGTGGCCCGGGTGCGCCGCCGGGGCACTGGTTTGTCAGTGGTGTTCCTGGGGTCTCCCAGGGGTGCCCCGGGAGTGTCTTGGGGGTGTGTCGGGGGCGCCTTGGGGGGCCCCGGGGGCGCCTCGAGGGGCGCCGCGGGGGCATCCTGGGGGTGTCCCGGACGTGCCCCGTGGTTGTCCCGTGGGTGCCCCGGGATTGTCCCAGGGGTGGCCCTAGGGTTCCCCATGGGTGTCTCGGGGGTGTGCCGAAGGTGTCCTAGGGGTGCCCCCTGCCCCGGGGGCGGCGTTGGGGTGCCCTGGGGGCGCCCTGGGAGCTTAAACATTTGCTTGATCAAAATTGAAAAAAAAAAAAAAGACGGGGACAAAAGTGTCAGATACTACCGAATTGGTGGACTATTGTTGCAAATTACTCTTCATTATGGAAAAGAAATCTCACAAAGGACAAAACACTTCAAAGGCAGCAAAATATGGTTGAACCAATGTCATCCTCTTCCAAGGAAAAAGGATTGCTCTTTCCCTTTCCCTTCCCCTTTTCCGGCTCAATCTCCCTCACCTTAACCCTTCAAATTCCGATTCCGATTCTCAAATCGAGACCCCAACAATCACAAAAGAATCGTCAGAATCAAAATCTGGGCGAGAAATGGCTGTGCTTGGTTTGCTCTTGTCAGATTTCTTGGTCTCCTGCATGTGGGTCTGGTCAGGGGTTCTGATTAAGATGTTCGTTTTCAAGGTCTTGGGTTTCGGTCACGAACCCGCTGGGGAGGTTATCAGATGCTCTCTCTCTATTCTCAACATGTTCTTCTTCTCTTTCCTTGCTAAGATTACCAAAGGCGGATCTTATAATCCTCTTACTGTCTTGTCCTCTGCCATTTCTGGGGATTTCGGCCTATTCCTTTTCACCGTTGGTGCTAGAATCCCTGCTCAGGTGACTTGCTTTTTTATGCCTTTCTGATAGGAAACAATATATATATATATATATATATATATATATATTTAAAGAATTTGTATAATTCTGTGTTTAGGGTACTATCTTTTGTTTCTAATAATTGAATTTTGGAATGTGTTTGTCTCAGAATTATTTTGTATTTAGTTGTGTTAATCTTATTGTTATGGTTTATTGTGTAGATAGCTTGGATATTGTAAGTTTAGTGGTTGGATTTTTTCTCGTGTTGAATTCTTGTTCTCTTTAAAATTCACTCTTCGCTTTTTTGTGGTCCCTCTGATTTGGACTTTGAATTTGGTTTTTCTTTTTTTTTTTTCCCCCCTGAAGAACTGAGTGACAATGATCGATTTGATGGATTTTGGCTTTTTTTTTTTTTTTTTTGTCTGCTCTATTTGTCACCCATTTGGTAATGGACTACAACAGTCAGAACAGTTAATCTGTTTTGGATATCCATGTCTGGGAAGAGCAGACTTGAATTGAGCTTTCTATAATAGTTTAAGTCCAAATTGTGCATTTGATTCATAAAAATGCAAATAGAAGAACACTCTTTGCTTTTTTGTGGTCCCTCTGATTTGGACTTTGAATTTGGTTTTTCTTTTTTTTTTTTTTTCCCTGAAGAACTGAGTGACAATGATCGATTTGATGGATTTTGGCTTTTTTTTTTTTCTGCTCTATTTGTCACCCATTTGGTAATGGACTACAACAGTCGGAACAGATAATCTGTTTTGGATATCCATGTCTGGGAAGAGCAGACTTGAATTGAGCTTTCTATAATAGTTTAAGTCCAAATTGTGCATTTGATTCATAAAAATGCAAATAGAAGAGTATGATATGTCAATTTGGTTATCTTGATCGTTAAGTTCTTATGCTTTTCTATACTTTATTAGATTAATAGTTTTAAGTCCAAAGCAAATGCAAATCCAATGTCATATTTAACACCAAAATGTGTAAGCATATTTGATATCTTATTTTTAATTTGTTGTTCAAAGCATAATATGATAATTTGTTTGCAACTTTTTTACATACTCGATTTACCTAGGAATTCATAATGCTATTTCAAATGTTAAATATATACTCTTTTTTTTTCATAATCATTAAACTTTGGAAGTAGCAAAAGTGAACTTTTAATCTTAAAATAGTTTGAAAATGCCAATATTTTAATGATTAAATGAAAAGATAAAATATCAACCAATAACAGTCAATAGCCAAAATATGACATGTTATACTTGGTGGTAAATTTGCTCTCAAGTGTAGCATATGCCAAATTTCGCACTAAGACTAGCACTGCATTTGATAGTGATTTTCCTACTCAAATGCTAAAATTTAGCATCGGCACACTAATTTAGCATTGCATTGGCAATGCTCTTACAAGTTAAACTCGAAGAGGTGAAAATACTAGTAAGAATCGTGACCTTGGGTAATACTTGGCATTTTTCTTCATATTAGATTTGTTTTGTTTCATATGTTGTCAGAATTTCTTTTTTATTTGTCTTTCGGTCTAATGATTGGGACATGTGCCTTCTTGAGTTTTCTTGGCCTTGTATTGTAGTGTGTTTTTACTTTCAAAATTAAGATTTGCATTGCAAAACTGGAGCTAACTACGATCGTTAAGTGTTTTAGTTTGTCTCCTTTGTGGCATACTGTTGGCTTAAGGTTGTGAGTTTGTTAAAAATAGCTGGAGAGCTTGAAAGGGATTTGCTTGCTACTCAACTTATTTATGGAGAATCAGCTTAGTTGGTGACAAGTACGTAGATATGTACTAAGATGTCTCATGCATTTGTTGAGTGTATAAATTTGAATTAACAAACTGACAAAACAAGATCTGTTCTTATCGCAAATACTAACTACTTGGAATACAGCTTTAGCCCATTGAATGGCCGAATAGAGTATTAATATACTGAGTGATGTTTCGAGCATTTTGTCCAGAAAAACTTCATATTATAGCAGGTGGCAGTATTTACCATATTTATCGTCTACCAAGCCTTCGTACTACTTAAGCACAAAGACAGCCTGACGAGTAGAAAATGATCTCTCGTGTATGGTTTTATATTATTGTCTATAATATCTTTTCTGTTGAAGAGAATTATTAACTGAATGAAATGGCGTCACAAAGGTTTGCCGAGGAAATTTGTTAAGGTTATCTTTCTTTCTTGGTTTTCAAATTGAGTATGAATGTTAGTTAGGAAGGACCTCGAAAGAAAATTTAGAGTTGTTTACTACTAGATGTTGTTAGTCCTGTTGATTTTATTAGTTTTTAAGGTAGGGGAGGAAAGAAAAAAGGTTCCCATTTATATATATTGTTTTCTCTCTTCTATTCAGGTTGTTGGATCTATCACTGGAGTTAATCTCATAATCGAGACATTTCCTGAAATAGGTCTTGGACCACGCTTGAAAGTTGATATACACCGAGGTGCACTAACCGAAGGGATTCTTACATTTGCTATTGTTACCATCTCGCTCGTGCTTGCTCGAAAAATCCCAGGAAGTTTCTTCATGAAGACTTGGATCTCAAGTGTCTCCAAGTTGACTCTTCATATACTTGGCTCCGATCTAACCGGCGGTTGCATGAATCCAGCCTCTGTAAGTACCTGCATTTGTTTTCCGCTTCATTTTTTAGAAGAAACGCTAATGATTTAGATTGAGTGAAATTTGTTTTACAATATAGGTAATGGGATGGGCTTTTGCTCGTGGGGATCATATAACAAAGGAGCATATACTGGTATACTGGCTTGCTCCGATAGAGGCGACTCTACTTGCTGTATGGATATTTAGGTTGATCTTTCCACAGAAAGAGGAGAAAGTGAAAAAGAAGACCAAATCGGAATGAAGTTCTTGTTTGTAGAAATGTCAAAAGAGTCCAATTTGATTATCCAATTTGTGGGCAGTAGAGAGAAGACGGGCAATGGACATTCCCAAGAATGGAAAGAAATTGGTGAGCTGGGAGAGAGGATTCACTTTCAATTGTATATAAAATCGTTTGATTGTTGTAGTTGAAATCATTTTTGTAATCTTGTTTTTATGTGCAATCGTCTGTGTAATTGTGCTGCATGCTTATTCCTTGTATGTTTCATTAGGAAACTTTTTTTTTTTTAATATTTATAACATAAACAGCCTTTCGTTGCTTGAATAACAATTACAATGGAGAAAAAAAAAAAAAAAAAAAAAAAAAAAAAAAAAAACCCAGAGAAAATAATTAAAAAAAGAAACATGACATACATTAAAAATTTGAGTTAAAAAGTGAATTTATGTGAGAGAAAATAATAAAAAAAGTTAAATTTGAATTTTTATGAGAAAAAAATACTAGTAAAAACTTGAGTTTTGATTTGAACTAGCCGAATAGGGCTTAATTGGATTAAGCTAGTTTCTTACCATCCTATTTTCACGTTTGTTTATTTCTGTGTTTAGTGTAGAGATATCAATTGGGCCGGACTACCTAACAAGATGCTGGCACGACACTTAGAATTTTAGATTAGGCACGGCATACCACGAGAATATGATGAGCCAGGCTAAACACGATGCGAGGTGGTGGGTCTTGTTAGGCTCAATTTTAAGCGCGTGGGGCTGGTATGACACGATACGACTACGAGCTTGAGCACGATATGAGCTCGACACGAGCACATCACGGCCCATTGAGCACGATGGGTTGGCACGATGAATACATTTTTTTTTTTATCATATGACTTTTATGTTAATTAGTTAACGTTACATATCTCATAGTTTTCTTTTTGCAATATTTTTTTAGTAAATTTTGAGTGAGGTGCTCGAGCGTTTACTATTGGATTTTGAGATATTATCATTTTATACCATGTGTTTTGGATTTATTTAAAAACTATATCTTACCTTTTCATTGTCAATTCTTGATTTTAACCTTAAAATACCTAAAATACACTTAGAATAAAAAATGGTAAATGAAAAAATAATAAATTTAAATCTACAGATTTGACCTAAAAAATGTGCAAAATACCCTTGAATTTTTATTTTGTGTTTTTTATTTTTATTTTGTGTAATATTAGAAAGTTTTAGTTTTCTTTTTTTTCTTTTTTAAGGATAGTTTTGTCATTTTAAATGTCAAAATCATTTATTGATCAAGATAAGGTATAAATTTGTATATTAAATTTAACTTAAAAGTATACATTTAATGAGATTAAAAAGTTAATGTATAATTTATGAACAAACTCAAAATACAAGGGATACGAATATAAATATTCTTTAGATATTTAGTGGGCGGCAAATGAGTAGGGTGTACTTAGGGGCGGCAATACGGGTCACGACACGACAACACGAATCGAAATCGACACGAAAATTACGGGTTAGGGTTGAGAAAAATAGGGTGCAGGTCGAAATTGGGTCGACTCGAATTTGACACAAACAAAACGGGTCAATTTCAGGTTGGACCCGTATTACCCGAAATTGACCCGCAATTCAATTTCGTATCAATTTCGAGTTCAAACCCGACAACGACCTGGAGTGACCCGTAGAAATATATATATATATATATATATATAGGCAAAGTCTCTGGTCAGGCACTTGGAAAGTGCCTGACCAAACCGACACTTGTATAAATATACATGAAGTGTGTATATTTATAGTAATTAAGTGAACATATATCATAAAAATATGTATATTAATGTTAATGAACGTAAGCGACAATGTATATTTTTAATGGAAACATGTATTTTTTATAGCAATTAAGTGAACACGTAACGTATTAATATGTATATTGCTTGATTTGTTGTATTTCATGTTATTGAACGCCGTTTGAAATTTTTTTTTTTTTTTTTTTTTTTTTTTTTTTTTTGGTGGGGAAAAAAAAAAAAAAAAAAAAAAAAAAAAAAAAAGGGGAAAAAAAAGTTTTAAAATGTGAAATGATAGTAAAAAAGTGCAGAATGTGACAAAAATGGGTACAAAACGTGAGGTGGTATAGAACATATAGAGTGATATAAAAAAAAGGGTGCAGAACGTGTGTACAGACAGGTTGGAAAGAATTAGTAGGGAGACACAAATAGGAGATTGAATATAGAAAGAATAATGAGGATGAAGTAAATTGTAAAATGCCATGAGTTAGAAAATATGTAAGCATGCACATGGAGTAGCAGAAGCCAAACAGAGACCAAGATGTATATTTGCTGTCTGAGATATGTGTATCCGATATAAATAAGTGAGTAACTGACCTAGTAATGTGTACAATAACTAAGTAATTATTGTCGTTCAATAAAAGTTGTATTGTAGTTTTCTTGAATACTCAAAAAAGCATGCTGATTGTCTGAATATTAGATTTTCAGAATATTTTATTTTTCTAAGAAATAGATACTACAAACGACCACAAGTATAATCGTCGTTTTAACTTAGATGATCGTGAATGCAACAATGAATATCAATGTCACTTATTTTGTACTTGTATTTAAATTTTGGAGTCGCGAAGGTTTTTTATTTTTATTTTGCATTAATAGTAATGGATGTACTTAATTTTTAAATCGTTGAAGATTTAGATTTCAAATATTTAAAGCAGCGATTTTTTTAATTGTTGTTATTTAAATTTCCTAGCTTCTTTAAAATCATCAGCTTTGTTAATGATGCAAAGAGTTTCTGTAGCCGAAGGTTGTAATACTTAGACCATGACCATTGGCTCATGAGTTTGTCAATGCAAAACTGCAAGATTTACAAATATTAACTATGTGTCTATCACGGGAGATGATTGAAAATAGAGGAATTATAAACAGATTTAATTATTTATAAAATACCAAGTTTAATCTAATATTGTAATTACTACTTTCAAGTTTTACAAGATTAGAATGCCTTCTCTATGATAAAAGGACAACAACTACAAGGGATTTATCAATATCTAAATACGTATCAGTCTAAATGTCACAATAAAAGTTTGTGAGAGCTAGTAAAAAATAAATAAATCAAAAAATCAAAACCTCGCATTGAAAGATTAAGAAATAAATCCCTAAAAACATAGACGTGATCAATGACAAAGGCTATATGCATGATGATTGTTTCTCATATTTGTTTAACAAAAAGAGCCAAAGCAATAAGTGAATTGGACAATCTACGACCATAACATCTATATGACGATTTCAAGTAAAAACCATACTATTTCATGCCTTCAGCAAGTGTATGAGGAACTGGTCCACTAAGTTACTGTAGACCGGTGTCAGAGAAACCAATCGGAGGAAGAGGGGAAAGTGGAAGAGAGCGGGGAGCCTAATATAAAAAATGAAAATGAGAAATTCTCTTTTTAGCCATTCATTTTAATAGCATAGAACAAGAATTATGGTTAAAAAAGTGAAAGTAGAACAAGAAATTCTCATGTTGCCTGAGAAGAAGCTATGTGTCGTTTCAGTAATTGCAAACAAAAACTGGTACTAGGGTGAGAAACATCAGCTGATTAAGTATGTCTTGAAAATTATACAATACCAAAAAAACTAGTCAAAATTTAGAATATTAGTATATCATCAAATCTACAACCAGCATCATAGATTCAAAATTTAAAAATGAATGAAAACAAAACTAATGGCGAGGGAATAAAAAAAGAAAGTAGAATAAAAAAACTGATAAAAACTAGAGGTTTACTATGCCTCAGATCCAATAGCAATGTGAAACATAAAGAAGCCATTGCAAAAGGTGGCCATAACTCTCACTTGCACTTAACACCAGCTTCAGCAGCTCGGCGGGCCTTTTTTTCAGCCAGAGCCAACAAGTTGCTTGAGATCCCATCGTCTTTTCTTATATATGCAAATCTAAGAAAGCACAAGACTCTTAAAGTACCACAACCTTAAATTCTGACCCACTAAAATAAATAAATAAATATATATCTATATATATTTCTTAAGCTCAAAATCTTGGGACTTAAAGAAAAGTTATGGGTCAATTGATCCAAAAGCTCCACAGAAATTAGATCCAAAGTAAAACCTAATTAATAACAAGAACGTTGAATGTCGATCACAACAGAGCCTTTACAAAGGTGATTTCTTTCTCATTTCCAATCAACACAGATTCTCGATCAAGATTCATTCAAGAAAAGAACATAAAACAATGTATGCGTTTGGAACTCGTTTCAAAATGATTTCGTTTTCTGTATGAAAATGAAAATGAAAACGTTTTCATTTCTATTTTAGAATCATTTCTGAAAATGCATTTGGTAGTTTTATTCTGATATTATTTTCCGTTAAAAAAATTGAAACTGCGTTTGGTGGTTTAATTTTTAAAAACATGTAATAGTATTCTTTTTAACCTTTTTCTTTCATCATTTTTGTGAACACTCACTGAAACAATTTAGCAAACACTTAAACAGCAAACTTATTGAACCCAAAACACATACATAACGTTGACATCTACTTCAAATGGAAATAAATCAGAACTATCCTACTCTCTTTCATTATATTAAAGTGTAATGGTTGAGAACGTGAATGAGAGAAGTTTATAATTATGATTAATATTCAAGGATATTAATCTCCAATATCTTCTCAAATCTCACCTGATATGAGAGAGAGAATAATGTTCTCACATCTCTTGAGAAATTCCCAATAGAGATGGTCTTTTAAGCCAAGCCTCCTAATGATATAATCAAGAAACGAAATTGGAGTAACTGGGTTCATCTTCCATTCGAGTGTTGAGAGCACCAGGAGCTCCATTCTCTTAATCGTTTTCGCTTCAAACACGAACTTATTCTCTTCCACCTAACCACACGAAAAAAGATTCATTTTTTTCTTTTTCAATTAATTTTCAAG